TTGATATCTATTGCTTTCGCGCCTTTTTATTCAGATTCAGCTTTGCTTTGCTTCTAATCATTTGTAGCCAGTAAAAGTACACTTAATTCTGAAATATGGAGTTGAGTGGTTTCTTTCTTGGTTATTACATGAAGGGGCAGTGACATGCGGAAGAAATGGAGGTCAGGACAGAGTTTATTTTCCTGGGCTCCAAGATCATCGCAGAGGGGGATGGCAGCCAAGGAATCAAAAGATGCTTGCTCCTAGGGAGAAAAGCTATGGCAAATCTAGACAGCCTACTAAAAAGCAGAGACATCACCCTGCCAACAAAAGTGCATCTAGTCAAGGCTGTGGTTTCCCCAGTTGAGATGGATAGCTGTGAAATTTGGACCATAAGGAAGGCTGAGCACCAAAGAATGGAGGCCTTTGAACTCTGGTGCTGGAGAAGACTCCTGAGAGTCCCTTGAACTGCAAGGCGATTAAAGGCAAGGAAGGTTGGACTAGATGACCTTCAAGTTCCCTTCAACTCTGTTAATCTGTTGAACTGTATTGCCTTTACTATAAAATCAATAATTCAAGGGATCGTGTTGAGTTATATTTCTACGGCAAGTTTATAACTCTGCCCGTAAAGGGAAATCGTGCTTGTCCTTACCTCAACGCAGTTGTCGCAAACGCTGCAGTGGGAGCAACGTGGAGGGCGGTAGAAGTGGCAAGTGGCGCACCATTTCATCCGAACTTGGATGCCTTTGATCTCCACGTTCTTATAGAGCGGAGCTCGGAAGTCGTCATCTTTATCCTCGTCTTCGTCGGCTGCTCGGGGTTCGGATGACACAAAGAAACAGTTCAATGAGACACAAACATTCTCGTACTCCTCGTCTTTACAAACAGCCCAAAATTTTCGTGGCTGTGAGACACATCTTCATTGAGTTTTGCCCCATTTTGTCACCTTTCTGGGCTTCTGCTGGGAAGCCAATTGCTACGAGTTGTTCAGTTAGCCACACGGTTGTTAAGTGAATCCCACACACTCACTTTACGGTCTGTTTCGGTTGCTCCCATCCAGGAGGAGGTTTTCAAAGTATTTCTAGCGGGAGTACCAGATTCTGGAATAGCTTTGTTCCCTAAATCACCCGTCTGGGAAACTCGCAAGATTCGTTTTTTTCTCACTGTTTACATTTATACATCCAGACTAGGCTGTGTTGTTTCTCTGTGTCATATCATATAGGTGGGTATATGCATAATTTTGTATTTATATATTGTCATGGTTATTTAGTGTATATTGGAGGTGGTGACCCTGTGAGAGCTGTATGCAATGACATTTCATTTTAATGTATGCTGATTAGTGTACATTCAAAGTCACAATAAAATTATTCAAAGTCTATCTATCTTCTACATCCTCCATCCATCTTTCCCTTTCCCGCTCTCTAACCTCTCTATCGTTCTCTATCATCTATCTATCTATCTATCTATCTATCTATCTATCTATCTATCTATCTATCTATCTATCTATCTACCTACCTACCTACCTACCT